AAACCGGAGTACTTTTTTTTGGGACACCCGGTATATATATATATATATATATATATATATATATATATATATATATATATATATAAATATCTGTTTTTAATAGTTTCATTGTAAATATTTAATGGTCAATAAAAGGTTTATATTCTTTACTTTAACGAAAATAATAATTTTACTAACGTCCAGGCTGTTGCAAACAAATGAATTTCGCGAAGACAAGTTTTCTAACGCTTTTATAATTTTAAACAAAAGTGATAGAAAAACTGTATTAAATGTCCCAAATTCTTTTCATTATTCTGCCATATCGTTTGTCGTATGTTTGAAATTAATTACAGAAATTAAAAACATTAATACAGTTTTTTCTACCAGTTTTGTTTAAAATTATAAAAGCGCGGGAAAACTTGTGCTATGGTGGCCCAGGCGTGCCATAGAAAATTTTGATATCTTTTTATTTTTTTTAATATATATTTTTTAAAAATTTTTTTTTTTCCAAACAAAATTTATTTCTAAACTCTGTTTTTTTTTAATTCATAAAGTACTTTAATGCAAAATATTTTATACCTTTGGCCCAGGTGTGCCATTAAAAAAAAAAAAAAAAAAAAGTTGTGGCCCAGACGTGCCAACGGCCCATGCATGGCAATCACTGCTGTCCATATAACTTTGAGATCGCAGGCTCGCAGGGCACCATAAACAAAATGGCCGATCAGGGATGGCAAGAAGACATTGAGCTTATTAAAAGACGACTTACAAAAATATGTTGAAAGTAACTTACAAAGGAAAGAAATTTTAGATTTTGTAAAGGAAAAGTATCCACTATATGCTTGGAGTCTGCGAACTTTTTGCCGTCGATTAAAACACTTTGGCATTTCATACATAGACTACAATACTAATTTGCACCATGTTGAAGAGGCCGTACGTGAGGAAATGGATGGTCCTGGAGATTGCTGGGTTACCATGCTTTGCACAAAAAAGTACGGGAAGTACATGGCCTTAAGGTTCCACGAAATCTTGTTTATGCAATGATGGAGAATGTTGACTCTTCAGGACTGGAAGAAAGAGGAGTTGGGCAACCAAAGCGACCAGTTAGAGCAAAAAGATTTATATCAATGGTATAAAATAATAGCCTAAAGCCCTGTTTACACTACGCTCATTTTTTGGTACGGCACGGATAAAATTGGTACCCGTACCACTTTTTTGGTTCTTGGACTACAGTACCTATTTAGGTAGTCCAAGAACCAAAAAGTGGTACGGTACCAAAAATTGAGAGCGTAGTGCTTAAATCAAGAGCGTAGGCTTAAATCAAGTATTGCGTTTTTTGAATATTTTGCCAATTAGTTTTAGTTATCTTTGTAACCTAAGAATAAAAAAGTTTTTGTAGGGTTCAGACTATACCATGTCACTTGATATATGGTCACGACAAGATGTGTGGATATCAGAACTCCACATTCGTTCTGTGCATGGTCAAGATACTTACAGTGGTAAAATGTTTTTAAGAATTTGGACCACTAATAGTGACCTAAGAATTATTGGTCGTTTTTACTTAGAATACTTGATTACCGGCAAAGGTAAGCAGCCCAAATTAATTGATTTTTAATACATGTGGTGCTGATTGTAGGATATAGCAGATTGGCTTAATACTGCTTTATCCTGTGTTTAATGTAAAATTCAAAGAAAATTAAAACTACAGTCAAACCCCTATAAGCGGACACCTCTCTTAAGCGGACACCTCCTTTAAGCAGACACATATCTCAGGTCCCATTCGGTTTCTTTAATAAAATACTATTATCATAACCCCTATTAAGCGGACACCCCTCTTTAACGGACGCGGACACCTTTCTGGAGGTCCCAATGGGCAAATCAACCTCTCTTAAGCGGACAGATGACAGAT